CCCTTTCCCGGCAGGTATTTGAGGTGGTGGTACAGGAAGACACATGTAGAGAAGAAGGCTCCTTTCATTGACCTGTTCAACTCGCTTCCTCTGCGCCAGATCTATGGTGAGCTCCCAGCGTGGCGAGCAGGGCGGTCTCCCCGGGGCAGGATGGCCGCCAGGCTGCAACAGCAAGTGGGAAGCTGTCGTTTCCCCTGGAGCTGTGGGGTGGGTCAGGATGGGAGGGAGCTGCGCAGGGCAGGTCTGGAGGATGCCCCACAGCTGCTGTGGGCAGGATTGGCCTGGACTCCTGAGGGGCCCAGGGGCAGGCAGGGCGGCTCCGAGGGGGCTGCCCCAGGATTGCTGCAGGCCAGGCGGCTGGGTCATGTTGGGGGTCACCTCCGTGCTTTTTGGGGGGTTGGAGCCCTGGAGGTTCCTGTAGGGCTGCTGCGTGGTGGGGTGGGGACCAGGGGTGTTCCCCCACCACAGCGATGGCGAGGAGACCTGAACCCATACGTTGCTGTCCCCAGGAGCCTCCCAGCAGCTGCTGGCTCCGTCTCGGAGGGGGGGAATTAAATTGCTGCCTTTTGCCTCTGCTAGGATGCCCACTGGGCGGGTTTGGGGGCGGCACCATCACGCGAGGCTGGCGGGGAGAGTTCTGCCGATGGCAGCTCAATCCTGGGCTGTACCACTACAAAACCGTCATTGCTGACCAGGTGGGTGCCCTGCCCTATGCTGGTGGGCCTGTGCTTCATCCCAAGGCCCTGTCCTCTCCCTGCCCATTGAGGTGAGTGGGTGGGACAGTGCCCAGGGGCCCCTCACTCACCTGCTGCCATCGCATCTGTGCGTCCTGCTCTGGGGAGCAGGCACACCCAGCGCAGAGCAGCGCTGTGCGGTGCAGCGGGTTAGAAGTGGAGCCGTCTCCAACCTGTAAAGCCCCTGCCCAGCGCAGGTTTGTTAGCGTTTCTCTTTGCGTGTGCAGCCCAGCTGCGCTTTGCTCCCTGTACTACTGCTTTGGGGCTGCACTGGCCAGCTCCTGTCATGCTGCGTGTTGAGGTGACCAGCAGGCCAGGCTTGGAGCAGGAGCACGGCTGACCTGAGTGAGGCTGGGTGTAGTGGGGGGCCCTGCAGCCCAGCCCGCCACTTTATTGCCCCTTTCCCATAGTTGTCTGGAAGCTGGGAGAGGAGCAGACGCAGCAGGACCTCTGCCTAGGTGGCGGCCCTGGGGAGCGTCTGGGGCTTCTTTCGCACCGCCAGGGCGCAAGCAGAGCTGGGGAGGAAGGGTGGACTGCTGAGCTGGGGTCTGCTGAGGTCCTGGGGTTAATGCCTGGCTGCATGGGCAGAGGCACGAGGGGCTCCTTTGGAAGGACTCCTGGCCCAGAGATTGGCTCCAGGACCTTGGATGCCTCCTCCACGCAGGCAGCACGGTGAAGGTGAAGGTGAAGGTGAAGGTGAAGGTGAAGGTGAGGGAGCTTCCGAACCCTGCTGCCTCGCTGGGGCGGGTCAGGGGGCTGCAGCACCTTGCTGAGCCAGGCACGGGCACAAGCAGAGGGCAGCCGTGCTGCAGGCTGGCCGAGGTGCTTTAGCGGGGCCCAGTGGTGGGACCCTGACAGCAGCACGGGGCCTTCTCATCCGTGTTTGCTGTAGCCTGGGCCTCTCCAGGACAAGAATCTCTGCTGGTGGGTGCAGGTTCCCAGTTCTCCCTTCCCCTGTCATCTCCCCACTCCTAGAGAAGTGAAAGCAGGGAGAGCAGGGCTCTGGCAGCCAGCAGTGGAGAGGAGAGGCCTGTGCTGCTACGGCTGGGGGCTCTCAGGTCTCGGGCAGGGCTTGCCCTGTGCTCCCGGCTCATTGCTCTGCGCTGTCTCCTCCCAGTTCACTGTTTGCTTGCGTCGCAGAGGGCAGACCATTTACCAGCAGGTCCTGTCTGTGGAGCGACCCAACACCCTGCAGGGCTGGAACTGGGGCTACTGCGGTCACTATGCCTTCTACCATGCCCTGTACCCTCGCGCCTGGACAGTCTACCAGCTCCCTGGACAGGACGTGGTGCTCACCTGCCGGCAGATCACCCCCATCATCCCCCATGACTACCAGGTGAGCGGGAGAGGCTTGCCCCTTCCCTGGCTGTTGCCCCTCCATCTCTCTGATCCTCCCTTAATCCACTGGTGTTCCAGTCACCGGGGTGATACTTGCCCAGTGGACCCTGAGCCTGGTGTAGGAGTTGCTGAGGAGTGATGCATAGTGTTGGGAGGGGAGCCCATCTTTCCTGCAGGATTGTTAAGGCAGCAGTCCTCACTATGCAGCGTCTGGCTCAGCTGCCCGGGGACCTGGCCATGGCTGCCCTGCCTGGGCTAGCAGGCCATGTCGGGGGCACTGTTACAGCGCTGGTTTGGATCCATCCTGTAGTGACAGGAGGTGGTCGTGCGCTGCCTGTGTCCCGAGACGGCGGTCACAGACCGGGTGCTGGGCCGGCGCCTTTGGAGAGGATCTCTTCCCTTTCAGGGCCCAGACTCCTTCTCCTGGCAGGTTCCTTCTTCAGGTCCCTACTGCCCTGGCTTGCCCCGGGGGCTTGCAATAAAGCCACCGAGAGAGTCAGATGAGAGCCTGCCTGCTGCTTGGCAATGGCTGTCCTTCATCACTATGCATATGGCTGGGGTTAGGGCTGTTCCTTTGAGCCCTGAGCAACCGGTGAGATGACCAGCACCTTGCCTTGGGGGAGCTGGGCTGGCAGGTTTGCTGTGGGCCCTGGTCTTTGCCTGCCCAGAGCATAGATGGGGGCTGCGATGTGCAGGACCCCTGGCAGGGGCAGTTCCAGCTATTTACCAGTAGAACTGAGGGGTGACTCAGAGGATGCGCAGGCCATGGGGAGAGCCCTCAAACAAAGAGGGATTAAGCAGGCTGGGACTGAAAGCAGGTGATGAGGGTGGACAGGACAGCAGAGGTGTGGTGGGAGCTTTTCTGCTCTGGTCTCTTAGGACAGGAACAAGCGGATAGTCACTGGCACATGGCAGGTGTAGCACGGGTAAGGGGAGTGCTCTCAGCCTGTGAAGGGCAGTGCCACTGGACTGGTCAAGGCCAGAGCCCAGCCATAGGCAGGAGGGCAGACGTACGTGGCAAGAAGATCCAGTGTTGTGGGAGGGAGTGCCAGAACCAGGAGTTTCAGGACAGAGAAGACCCCCCTGGTCCAGGGCTTATCCCCACCCCCAGCTACTGGTCTGGGCAGCTTGTTCCAGCATGGTGAGGGCAAGGGCTCCTTGGAGCCAGAGGTGTGGTACCCTCAGCTTGTACCTGTGAGCACCACAGCGGCTTGTCTGCAGCAGCCTCCGTGCTCAGTGGCAGAGGCTTCAGTATGCAGATCCATAGGCCTGTCTCCTGTCCCTGCAGCTGCTGCTGTGCCCATAGGTGCCCTGCAGCTCGTCTCCAGCACTAGCTTTCAAGTGCATAGACAACCTCGCTTGGCCATCCCCGCTCCTGGCTGCATTGCCGCAGGGTGCTGAGGGCAGTACAGACGGGGAGCTGGGCGCTTGGCCTGGGCGCTTTCCCCTGTGGAGCTGGAGTCCAGTCCCCGTGCGCTCTGTTGGCCCTTCTTCGTGCAGGCTCTTGCTGTCTGAGGGATGTGTGCGCTCCGCAGGCTTGCTGCGCCCTCCGAGCTGTGCATGCCCTGTTTTCCAGGACACCAGCCTGCCTGTGGGAGTGTTTGTCTGGGAGGTGGAAAATGGAAATGATGAGGATGTGGACGTGTCCATCATGTTCACTCTGAGGAATGGCATGGGGACCAAGGAGGACAAGAGAGGGGGCCACTGGAACGAGCCCTTCAGCCTGGAGAAGGAGGGCGAGCGGGTCTCTGGCGTCCTGCTGCACCACTGCATCCCTGTGAACCCGTACACCCTGGCCATCTCTGCCAGGGAAAAGGTAAAGGGGCCGGCCCAGCCAGGGCGGCAGTGTTTGTCATAGGTAAGCAAGGCTCCAAGGGCCCTCGAGGTCACAGCTACTCCAGCGCCCTGCTCCAGGCAGAGTCAGCCCTGTTTAAGCATCCCATAGAAGAGTTTAGCTAATGTGTTCTCCAAGCTGCATGAGCACCTTTCATCTGCACGCCCAGGGACAGTGCCTGATAACGCCAAGGGCAAGTGGGGATGAGGACACTGCGAGTCCTGCCACTACAAGGACAGGAATAGTTTGCTAATTCGGTGGTCCTTAAACTCTGCTGGGAGGAGGGGGCGTCCTTTGGGATGGGACTGTGGGCCCGATGGCATGGGGAAGCGTGATCTCTGTCTGAGCCTGTCTGGCCAGGCTGCCTGGGGTCGCAGCCCAGGGGTTGATCGTGGGCCCAAGGACAGCAGGTGCCTGGGCGCTGGACAGAGCTGCTGCAGGTCCCAGCCCAGTGGCTGCCTGACAGCTGGTGAGCGCAGGGGGGGCAGGGGCAGGGTTGGAGCAAACGGGATGCGGGGCAGTGAACAGCTGTGGCCTCTGCTTGCTCTCCTGGAGCTCGGGTCAGTGCCGTTCTTGAGCTCGGCCAGTGGCCTGGGCTCCGTCACCGGCGGACGTGTGAGGTGCCAGCCCCGCTGCTTGGATGGGCTGCATCTTCCAATGCTTATGTTTCCCCTCTTGCCCTCCAGGCTGGCACTGGCGTGACCCACGTCACAGCCTTCAACCCCGCAGGCACAGGACAGGAGGTGTGGCAAGACCTTCTCTCGGACGGCCAGCTGGATTCCCCAGCAGGTGAGGCCTGACGGCAGCCTGCAGCCCGTGCGTGGGCCTGGGTGACTGAGCTGAAGGCAGAGGGAGCCTTCAGCTGTGCCACCAGCAAGGCTGGGCGCCTGCCGGGCGGTCTGACCTGTGCCCTGTCCGGCCCAGTGTCCTGTCAGCAGTGGGCAGCGCCGGGGGCTGCAGGGAGCAGCGCAGCAGCCTCACGGCGGTGAACGGGGCGGGGAGCTGCTGCCCGGACGCCCAGCGCGGGGGCTTTAGTGCCCCTGTAGGAATCGCTGTAGCCGGTTCAGTCACCACCACAGTCGCACTTTCCACGGAAGCATCTAGGCCCTTTCCAGGGCTGGGAGTTGCTTCTCTCAGTCACGTCCCATGGCAGCGAGTTTCGCTGGCCAGTGTCCTGTGCGTGCAGTAGTTTGTTTCTTGTCTCCATTCTGGATCTCCCCCATCCCTGCTGCTGCTGACAGCCCCCTGGTTCCCGCTTTGTGAAGTAGGAATAGAAATCCCCCAAAAGCCGCCTGCGACACTTCCAGGATCCTTCTGCATCCTGTTCCTCAGCTCCTCCGAACGTCTGGTTAAAAATCTGGTCAGAGATGAAGTGTCTGTTGAGCTCTCGGCTCTGAGGCCCCATTTACCTTAACTCGGAGACTTTCAACAGGAAGAGCCAGATACCTTCCTTCAGACGCGCCTAGAAAACAAAAGTAGGAGATCTTGTCGCCCTCTAAAGGCAAGCAGGACAGCAGAGGCCACAAAGTCAAATCTGTAGTGTCTCTAGCATATTTTTATTCTTTTAAAATGGAATTTTTTAGCATTTATTTTATTTATTTGGACCTCGTCCACATTTTTTTGCAAGTCAAAACAGTATTAACCAGGTGTTTGCCTAAGAATCCCCTGGCGCATTCAGAGGATTCACAAGGTTGCAGACACACAACTTTTCTGGGTACTGGTTAGATGTAGTAGGGTCAGAGCATTGTTGTAGCCCGGGCAGTCCAGGAAACGGGGAGAGGCAAGAGGTTTTTGTGATAGTTTTTACTGGACTAACTATACTTAGGGGAGATGCTGAACAAGTTTTGGGGCGTGGAGCAGCTGAAGTGAACATGAGTGTTTTGTGCTCGGCACTTGTCAAACAGGTCTCCCAACAATACAGCTGGTCCAAAAACCTTTGCCCCTGGTTAGAACCAGCAGCTGTCAGTTTGCTCTGGCGCTGCTGTCCGACCCCTCCGTCAGGCTGCCCCTTCCTTGCCCCAGGCGCTGCTCGCTCCGTGTCTGTAATGTTCTCTGTGGCACATGCCATTGGGCTCTTCAGCCAGTTTGGAAGCAGGCCGTGTACTCCTGGCAGCACTGTCCTGTGGGATGGGACAGCGGTCAAGGTGGAGGAGAGCCCTTGATTGCTCACCATGTGCATGTCTTACCTGGCAGGCAAGAGCAGCCCCACAGAGAAAGGGGAGGCGACTGCTGCGGCCGTGTGTGCCCGGTGCACGGTGCCTGCTCGGGGGCACGGATCAGTGGAGCTGGCCCTGGCATGGGACATGCCTTGTATTCACTTTGGCTCAAAGGAGAAGATGCATTTCAGGTGGGTGCCCTGATTCTCCAGACTCACTGCGCTGCCAGACTGCACTCAGCGAGCCACGTGTCCCCCTCCTGTGGGTCGGTGGGACCCCTCACCCCCTCTAGCGCCTCGATTGCTGCCTGGCACCATTGCCCCCACGTGCCACCAAGGGGCTCCACACTAGCACCCCAGCCCCAGCTGGCCAGAGTGGGGCAGTGCTTGTGTGGCAGGGACCCCCCCCCAGGCCATGCAGGCTTCAGACCAGGGAACGTGCCTCTGGCCCCGTTTCTGCGTGCCCCTGCACGAGCCTCTGTGCAGCAGCCCCCTGTGCTCAGGCTCCCGTGGCCACACATGCTGTAGTTGAATGCCTTGGAGAGTCCCCTGAGCAGGGCTGAGGGGGGTTCTCCAGCACCGGCCACTTAGACCTCTCCCTCTAATGCAGCGGTTGTTAATCGTTTTTGTACTGGGACCCATTTGCAAAGATCAATGGCTTGTCCCGACCCATGCCCCCCCCGCCCTGCTGCAGCCTCGGCACCTGGCCACCTTCCTCAGTGTCAGCAGGCACCTGCCTCCTCCCACACACCCATCTCTTGCACACGCATGCATGCACACTCATGCACACGCATGCATGCACGCACACACACATTCACAGTGCCACCCCCCCCCCCCCC